TTGATTCTCTCAAGGTGCTTCTCTTCTCCTCTTCGGAGACCAGCGGGCTCCGTGCACCGCACTTAAATGCTTGAAGGAACCTCATATGAACACAAACGGTAATCGAGAAGGAACAATCCTGCCCTATGAACGGACACACAAGCAGATATAAGGGAATGAAGGGAGTTGCTAGACTCCAAGAAAAACTAGCTCACCCTTGAAGATGCTCACGAAAAGGAACCGGGCACTATGTATGGAAGTTAGGGGTGAGTGGCACGCACTGTCCTGAGTGAAAACCTGCGAGCGATGGGTAGGAAGCGCTGGGTGCACCTGGGGAAAGGTACTTGTGTTATGTGTGTCCCACTGGGGATTTGTGTTTGCATGATGGGGATTCGAGTGTCTTGCCTTTCGGAAGGAAAGGATTGGTTTGCGTCGGCCGATGCGGGATGCGAAAGGTCGTCCTCTTTGAAGTTCACCGGGTTCCGTGAAACGTCTTTTGCATCCCGAGCGGTCCGAGCATGGCTCGATGACCTTGCCCAGGCGGGGTGTGAAACGTCTTCAGGCGGGGCGGCCGCTTGTCGGCGGACGGCAGGGGGGACCACTGCATATGGGGCAAGGAAGGAGCCTCGGAGGCGATTAAAAAATTCTCGTAGCATGGTTTGGAAAAAGTTGATTCTTGTTGGACCGATGGAAGTGAATGCCTGGACGAACGACTCCAATGGCCTTACCGAGATGTGCGGGGTGATTCCCGAGATTAACGGTGGGTACACGAGTGGCAAGTCGGGATGGGGTCTTCTGGGTAAGGAGGAAAGGGCAAATGCCTTGCCGAAACCTGGGTACCGCGCTCGCAACGGTTGAGCTGCGCTTGAGGTATGGGGTAAAACCCTGCCGATAGTAACAGTGGAGAGACCATTTCCGGGGAAGAGGTCGGTGAGGAGATGACCGACCTGTGTGCGACGTTTGCCTGAGTTTTGCTTTTTGTGCCTCCCTCTGTAAAGTTGCCTGATGAATGTTGGATGGGGACCAGGTCTCTAGTCTATTCTCAACCCCGGCCTCAGTCTGCACGAGTGAGAGAACATGAGGAAGAGGCTGGATAGGAGTCGGAAGAAAGTGGAACCAAGAAAAAGGAATGCGAACCACTGGTGATCGATTGGGGGTGTGGTAGGGGAATGGCACCTGGGAAATGGATAAGTAAAGTTAAGGAGACCCGGATGAGGGGTCTGAAAACAATTCTCATCTAGAAATGGAAAGAAAACCGTCTGACCATGAGGGGCCGTGTGGTGCTCTCATGTGGAAGCAGGACAAGCGCTGGGAAAACAAGATGGCGCGGTGGTTGTCGCCTCCTGTCTACTCTAGCGGAAATGCCAATAGAGGTAAGGGGTGGGGTATCTGTTGTTCTCCCGGAAGAAGGGACGTGGACCGACCTAGAACCAGCCTATGAAACCGTGATGCTGGACGAGAAGGACGCGTTCCTCTGGATAGAGACAATCTGGACTAAGGTCAGCCTGACGAGACTCTCACCTAGCTTGATGGATCTATAATCCCAGGGAACATTGGAAGCTCGAGGATGGGTCTATCTGTCACAGGAATTGGAAAATGCAATGGTAGTGGGACTAGTATTGGGCACGGCACCGGATCAGCTGTTTAGGCAAGCGGAACGGGAGGTGGTATGGGCGGCGCGTCAGCGGGCAGATGGAAAGGATGGAGGTGCGAGTGGAACTTGGGGATCGGGAGAAAATGAGACGACCTCTTAGGACAATGAGGTGCGTGCTACCCCCGTTTCTGGTGGATGCAGTCTTTGGGACCAGGGATAGACTGGAACATATATGCCAATCAATGACGCGCCTGAGGCTGTACCAGTGTGCTAGACAAGACTTCTTTAGACTGTCGGTGGAAGCGGGGTCGTTTGAAGGAAACTGGGCCGAAGAATTAGCTGAGGTGTTAAACCTCTTCAGCGCGGACAAAGTTTTTGTTCCTAGTCTGGTGCATTGGCAGATAGTTTACCGAAACGTAGCAGCGGGGGAAACCTTCTTGGAAGGGGTGAAAGAGATGTTCTTAGACGAGGAGGAGGATTCTAGTGATGATGAGGACGGGGACGAGATAGAGGACTGAGACTTCTGAGGGGGGACTTATCTGGGGAACGGGCTGTCGGCTATGTGCAGGTAGGAAGCGATGGCCCGGGAACTCGAGCTATGGGACTGCATGTGGGAACCGAAACGAATCGGGGGGGGGGGKGGAGATGTCTATACCGTCAAGTAATGAGTGGAAGGGGACTACATGTGACTGGCGGGGGTATGAAATTGTGCCGGAACTGTCATACCTATGGATAGAACGTGTTTGGAACCCGTTGAGGGAAGAGGAAGGATGAGAGGAGATTGCGGAAGGTAAGGTGGAATCGGTTGGAACGATCGTTCTCTCTTAACAAGGTTGGCACCTGTTCTGCACGACGCTTGCGGCAGGGCAGAATCCAATGTGGCTTCTAGGGGACGAAGAGGCAAGGGTTCGGCAGGCAGGGGAAAAGTTCGCCAACCAAGGTTCGGATACGGTCAACAGTAGAGTCGTGATGGGAGGGTGGAAGGAATTTAAGCCGCCTGGCACCCGAACCAAGATCTGGGTGCTCGAGTTCGTGGCAGACTAGTTTGGGGGCTTTGATCACGTAACAGAGGTAACCGACACGATGGAACGGATACACGTGGACTGCGCATGGTTGGCAGAGGAATTTTATAGGACGTCCTTGAAATTCGGGCCCTTCCACGGTGATAGAGCCCAGGAGGTCCTTATCATTTTGGACATTGAAAGGAATGACCGGCAAGAGGTGGCCCCGGAAATGAGGGAGGCCATACTCCGCCGTGAGGTAGCAACAACCCCTTGCTATGTGGGTGATGTGTTCAAACTGTTCGAGGTTCTGTGGTTCGACTAAGCGCGGGAAAGTCGTGGGGCCAGACAAATATGGGAAAAAATTGCTAAGATAAAGGAATGGGATGTCTGGCCATTGTAGGGTTCAGTGCGGATCACGAGCCAGAAGAACAAAGGCAAGTGTGCGATGGCGCGAAGAAGGACGTTCCTTGAGGAACGCCCCTTGGGCATTGAACCGCCTAGGGAAGTATCAGGTGGGGTAGAGGTTTGCCTGCCGACGGCAAGTGAAGGCTGGCACCAGGTGGCAGATTGGGTCGGGGTCGAGCTTGCGGAAAATATGGTCTACTTGGTGACGAAAGTTGAGTGGCGTGCGGATGAGAATGGGGAATGGAACCCGGACCCGCGGGGGCATGTGCGTGCAGAAGGACGACTGTATATGTCAGAGGATGGGTGGAGGGAGTTCGGAGTTCGGTTGGCATCAGGAGAAGACCCGTTGAGCATGTTTGAAGGGGCATGGCAGTTTGTGTGGCGAGCGGGGTTTGGGTTCGCGGATCCATGGATGGATGATGTAACAGCAAACCTTAGGGTAGCCATGGTCGGGAGCTTTGAATTGCCCAGTGAAAATGTACGAATGAGGCTGTCGTCCTTTCTGCTGGAAAGGCTGGGCGGTCTGGGACTTGTTAGACAAGCGGTAGCCGACCTCGCAAGCCTTACATATGAAGATACGATGGTACATCGAGAATACTATCGAGCCTTCCTAGAAATGGGCCCGTTTTGGGATGTCATCCGACGGGAAATAAGTCAAGGGATGGTGTACGTAGATGATCTGTGCCGATTGTATGAGCCGATGGACGTAGGGACGGACCAATAAAAGAGATCAAGGAAAGAAAAGGAAGGTTCAAGCTAGAAACCGGGGAGTGTTCGGGCGGGAGCTGAAGATTAAATGAAATAAGTAAAACCGCGTGCTGTTTAAACTGTGCAGGGGACCACTAAGTCAAAAATGGCGATGGGACGTGCCGGACGCTGCGACGGTCCACACACCCGCGACCACCCATGGAGAGTGGAGGCAGATGGGAGGTATCGCTCCCAGCAAGCTACATGATCCAAGGATTGGACATCGAATGGAGGGTCGTGACCCTGGGAAGAGGACAGGTGTTCATGATGGTGGAATGTTTGTGGGATGGTATGAGGATTAACAGGGGACCGGGAGACGATCTGTACACCGACCTTAGGGTAACAGGGACCGTGTACCTGCTGGAACTTGGATGGTACATGTTAGGAACGGAATTGGCACTAGGGCACGGGTTGCTACCAATCTTCCAGAGGGCTACTAGGGTGTTGAACAGGGTGGGCCAAGAAGTGCGGGGGAGAAGAAACGTGGGATTAAGAACTCGGGTGGAGGTCGGAGGGTGGCGAGAGTTTAAGGCCCCAATGACCGGGTTGAGGTGTCGATTACCTCGTTTCATGGTGGACTTGGTATTTGGTAGCCTCAAGAGAGCTAGGGACCTGGTGGACTCGACCCTGGTCTGAATCCACCACTACCGGCCACAAGCAACGAGCATGTTTTACGATGTGCCGGTCAGACATGGGCCGTTCTGGGGGAATCAGGCCTGGGAACTACTCGGATTACTCGATATCTTGATATTCGGATTGCCCCACCTGTCGTTCGAAGAATATGAGCCAATAATTATCAGGGAAATAGAGATGGGGGAAAATTACCTTGCTGGGTTGGCTGACCTGTTCGAGGAACTGGATGAGCAGGGCAGGCCTGAGGGACCAGCATGAGAAAACGTGTCAGGGATAAGTAGGGAAATAAAGGATGGGTACTAAGATAAGTAGGCAACCATCAGCAAAAGAAGGGCAGTGGTTGGAGTTTCGACCGACCCAATGATGAGGCAGGGAGGAACTAGGAAGACCACCCGCCCCAAAGATTCTGGGGTACCTGGATGCCAATAAGCCGAAAGGGCCATCCCCGATAGGAAAGCCACTGGGCTCAGGCACCGCCCTAAGAACCAAAGCGCGACAGAAATGAAATGCCAAGCGGCGGCAGCAAGGCTCCGGTAGAAGAAAACCTGAAGGACGCCCCGGGAGAGAAAAATCAGAAGAGTCGTACTGATTAATGTAAGACGCAAAAACATGGGAATAGGCAGGTTTTAGGGTCGGGACTAGGGCAGTTATGAACAACCGGCCGCTTTTTCGCAATTTTTTTTTTTTTTTTTTTCCCATATGCAGGGTAGGTAGAGAAATGGTGACGGAGGAGGGGATCGATGACCAGCAGAGCGGAGGGAATCAGGGCACGAATGGGGATGGGGAACGAAACGAGAGATCAGCCAGGGATCGAGAGTCAGCCAAACTGGAAGGAACCCGAGAAGATAGAAAGGATGCCTCAATTGCAGAAAGCTCGGGGAAAGTTGGGGGTAGCAAAAGGGGATCTCATAAAAATAGGGAAGGGGGAAACGATATGAGAACAAGTCCTCGGAACTCAGCAGGAGCCACCCCTAAAAAGACGGAAGTCCTGAATACCCGTCGTAAACTGGCAGAGATAGAAAAGCGGACTGTAAAATTTAAGGCAAGACTTATCGAGCAGATGATGGCCGGGGATGAGGAGGACCCCCAGGACGCAGGGTCGCGTGAAGGGCGTAGGATCGGTCAGGACGACGCCAGGTACGAAGGAAAGCATAATAGTCACAAGGGAACGCCTAACAAAAAGGGGAAGGACAAGGACGGAACGCTGAAAACCGGGGAGGAGCAGAGGGAAAGCAAGGAGGGGGAAGGGACTAGTGCAGTTGGGGAAGGGGGTAGCTCCGAAGGTGGGCTCAAGAAGATAGTCACCACCCTCACCCGGGCACTGAACAAAAACCAGGGGTACCTCGCAGATGCAAAGAAGAAACTCACGTTCGACGGGGCAAACATTACGGAGTTTCAGATAGACTATGAGAACCTAGCAGCCTTACTGAAATGGACGGAAGAGGAAAAGATGGAGCACCTAGGGCAGAACGTGTCGCTAGGCTTGGGAAGGGACATTATGGTCATCGTCGCCTCCAGTGGATCCTGGAAAGAAACCAGGAATGAGATGATGAGGAAATATCTGAAGGCAGAAAAAATGGCAACAGAGGCCGAATTAGCCGCAGTCCATAGGAAAAACTATGCGACTTACAACGATTTCCTAAGGATATTTACGTTAGTGGCATTGCGAATTCCTGGGGTAACGGACCGCATAATGAGTAAATACTTCCTCAGGCAGTTCTCCGAGTTTGATAAGGATAAGATTCCGTCAGCATACCGGCAGACTAGTAAGTTCGAATACACGAGAAATGTGGACTTCAGCTTTCGTAACAGACCTTGCGGAAAAGACAGTGGTCACCGAGACGCTAGCCCTGCTTAAGGAAGGGGAGGTCATAGATCTGACCGGGAAGACGGGGGATAAGGTCAAGAAGGGGATAGAGAGCCTGCACGAATGGGTGCACGGGGTTGACAGCAAGATGGATATAATGGAAAATGCGCTATTAGTAATGCAGGCGCAAGTGTCCAGACCAGCCCTCCCGCCCCAAGAGGCCGTGGTTCCGGCAGCTGTAGCGAACCGGGGGTTTGGCAGGAAGGACCCGGCCAACGAACAATGCAAGTATTGCACCATGATCGAGCACTTCGTACGGGCATGTCCGAGACTCAATCACGATATCGAGCGCCAGAGGTGCTGTAGGTCCCTCAAAGGCGAGATCCTCAGACCCAGGGGGGAACGTGTCAATTGGAATTCGCCAGGAGGAATGCGGCGAGCCGTCATCCTCCTGAATAATTTAGAGATAGCTGTCGTAGAAGCTGAGTCGATAGCCGAGATTGTCTGGGACCAGCCAAGGGGACGGGGACCACAGGCGAATTTTATCCTAGAAGGCAATGGCTAGGACAGGGTAAATATCACCACTCGCCGGGCTGGCGCAGAAAAGAAGCTTATTCAAGATACAGTAATGGAAGAACTCGCAGGGACTAGCACGGGCCAGCAAGAGACCGAAGTCGGGGAACAAGAGAAGGTCTATGGGAAGCTAAGGGAGGACGAACCGGTAGATAAGGCTACGGCGGCAAAAAAGAAGTTCAGGTATCGAATTCCGATCCTGACTTCGCCAGAAATCGATGGCACCTTGAGTAAGCTACTGGGTACCATGGTATCGGTGTCTTTTCAGACCATGCTGCAAGCCAGCCCGAGGCTGCTTAAAGGACTCAGGCAGTTGCTAACGCGTAAGCGCGTAGAGGTAGAGGAGGCCCCAGAACTGCAAGAGCAGGACATGGAAGAGGCCGAGGCACCGCAAGGAGTCTCCAACCTCCAAAGCATTCCAGGGGGCCTGAGAGATTTGGAGAAAGCCTTTGCGGACATCCGCCTAAGCCTACAGGATCGTGAAGGTGGCGAAGTCATGAGGGCGCCACCCGGAACAAAGCTTAACTTTCATGCATTACCAGTTGGGAAACTTAAAGTTCAAATCGGAACTCACCACACGGACGCGTTAGTGGATGGCGAAGCAGAAATCACCCTCATACGTCGAGATTTTGCAACGGTCACGGAGTGCACGGTAAACAAGGAAGTTGCGGGGAGTATCCGGGGAGCTGGGGGCAAAATTCCTTTCACAGGGTATGTCACCAAATGCGCGGTTAAGGCAGGAATCCGGGAATCCATTTGGTCTTTCCAACGGATGACCGCCATGGAAGAAATGAACCACGACATAATCCTTGGGAGACCATGGTGCACCAATGTAGAAATGATAGGAATGCATCTGCATGACGACACATACATGGTAGACATAGAGGACCCAGTGACCGGCCGTGGAGAACTCCGACTTCTTGGGACCGGAGGGGACCCTCCAAAGGGCAAATTGACAACCTGGTCTCCAACATTCGAAGAAAGTGCGCGGAAGGGGGCTTTCGCACGAATGGAAGACATGATGGAAAGGGTATAAATTATGATTGAGGAGGCTTTTAGTAAAAAAAAATGGATCAAGATGGGCTTGCCCATAAAGAAGAGGAGGCCAGAGGACGAGCCCCTGGGGGTTATGGTGGCGGAAAAGGAGCTGGAAGTTGAACTCGGGGCCAGCGTGCCCAAGCCAAAGGAAGGTCGTAACGAGACTCCCGAGCTAGCACTCGAAATCCCAGACCTGTTGCAACTTGTTAAGGCAATCAGGTACCACAAAGTGGGAGTCGACCCGGCAGCGCTTGCCAAGTTTGAGGATGAGGTTTGAAAAGGCTACTGCCTGAATGGGAAGATAGTTACCATCCAGCCCCGCATCATGGAAATTGCAAGGCCAATCCCGACCGTTCATTTTTTAGGAGAACGATCCCAGAAGGCAGTGTGCGAAAGTACAAACCCGTAGGGGAGAAGGCCAAGCCGGTCTCGATCCTAGTAGAAACATCAAAGGAAGAGGTCATGGAAAAATAGGAGGAGATCCTACGGGTTATAAGGGAGAGACGTGCAACGAAAGGTCATCGCATACCAGATGATGTAGCAAACACCATGAAAATAGGAGTGGAAGGATTCCTAACACCGGAAGAGACTCAGTTGATAAGAAAGGCGTGCCAGGAGTTCCATTTAGCTTTCGCTTTCAATGATCATCAGAAAGGGCGATTGGATGAAAAGCTAGTTCCCCCTGTCAGGATCCACACCGTACAGCACGAGTGTTGGAATGATAAAGGGTCCGCATATGAGTTTGGGATAGCAGCGGAGGTCACCGACCTGCTTAGAGCCAAGATAGATTCCTCCGTGGCTGAACCCACCGCATCCCCCTACGCGAACAAGTGGTTCGTGTTCAGGAAGCCCAATAAGACGCTCAGGTGGATCCAGGACTTGCAGAAGCTAAATGCGGTAACAATTAGGGACGCAGGCTCGCTTCCACAGACCGACTTATTGGCAGAATCTCATGCAGGGCGGAGCATTTACTCCCTGGTAGACTTATACTCAGGATATGATCAGTTGCCGCTCGACGCGAGGGATAGACCGTACACCTGTCTCTTATACACATTTATACTCAGGATATGATCAGTTGCCGCTCGACGCGAGGGATAGACCGTACACCGCAATGCACACCCCCGTAGGACAACTGCAGATGCAAGTGACCCCTATGGGCTTCACAAATGCGGTAGCAGAAGCGCATAGGAGGATGCTCGCCGTTGCAGGAGATATGTTTCCAGAAAAGTGTGAACCTTATATAGATGATAATCCTGTAAAAGGTGCAAGATACAAAGATGAGGCGGAGGTCCAACCGGGCGTACGAAAGTTTGTTTGGGATCACTTGCAGGATATTAAGGACCTGCTCCAGCGATTCCTAGTTTACAATATTACTGCAAGCGGACCCAAGAGCATCCTGGCTGTCCCGGAGGTAACTATACTGGGATTTCGTTGTGGGGCGTATGGGAGGAGACCCGACCCAGCAAAAACAGATAAGATCTCTCAGTGGCCGATACCCCTGCGTACCACGACGGAAGTACGAGCCTTCCTAGGGGTGGTTGGATTCTGGAGGATCTTCATCAAAGGTTTCGCAAAGATAGCGGAACCTATCCGCGCGATGATTAGGGAAGGTGGCAATATGGATTGGACCGAGGATAGGGAAGAGGCAGCCCAGACCCTGAAGACATCCTGTCATCCGATCACGTCACTCTAGCAGCACCCTGTTTCAATGACGAGGTAGGACGGCCTTTCATCTTAGAAACAGATGGGGGACCACTGGCAGTTGGAGGCGTGTTGATACAGAGAAGCGAGGAGGGCAAGGAAAGGCCAATCAGATTTGAAAGTAGGACCCTGAATTCGGCAGAACGGCGGTACTCACAGTTCAAAAAGGAGGTCTTAACGATTCTGCATTGTCTTAAGACCTTCCAGGCATACCTGTTCGGAAGGCGATTTATCCTAAGGATCAATCCCACCAACGTTGTCGGGGCCCTAAAGAACTACAAGCCTATAGATCCGACCGTTGGCAGATGGATAGGCTTCATATGGCAATTCGACTATAAGGTCGAGCGAATTGCAGGGCTTTGAAATAGGGCAGATGGGCTGAGCAGGGTATGTATCACGCTAGAAGGAGTAGAGGACGCAGAACCAATCGACACTTTACTGGAATACGAAGGAGGGACCCTTGTCGTGGATAATGAGATGGCAGACCCAGCGATTACAACAGGTCAGTTGCTGATTTAGACCTTGGAAAAAGGCGCACCTGCAGGAGTTGCAGAACTCAGGGAAGGACCAGTCACCACGGTCATGCGTAAAGAGGAGAAGGACTCGTGGGGAGCAGAAGTAGGGGCCAGGGGAGAGTTGATGGCAATGGCCGTGGAAGGGGGACGAGACGCTGTAATGATGTTGGCCGAAACCTGGGCGCAAAAGGAGTGTTAGTACCTAGTCAACCTCACTCGGGAGGAGCAGGGTACGGATCAGAAGAAACAAAAATTCTTCCTCATACAGATATATGAGGGCGTCCTTAGAGAAATCGGTCTGCTGCTTGTAGGGAACAAACAACCCACGGAAGTCAGTCCCAAGGCAAGGGAGGAAGTAGAAAAGTATGTCCTAAGAAGCGGCCACCTGTTCAAGAGAGAGGAAGGGATGATGCCTAGACGTGTCGTTTGTGGGAGGTCTAGGCAGTTGGACGTAATTCAGGCAATGCATGATGGGCTAGTTGGGGGTCACCGGTCGTCAAAGGGGACACTGGCAAAGATCGTGCCCCTGTACTTTTGGCCAGGGATGGCAGGCATGGTCGCAACGTATTGTTAGACATGTCTGATATGTCAAGAGAGGAGCGCCGTACGAGTTTACGAGCCCCTTAGACCCACCCGGGTACTGGGACCCGGACACCTTGTTCACCTCGACCTTGTCGTTATGCCCGTATCAACGGATGGGTTTAGATACATCTTGGATGAAAGAGATAATCTCAGTGGCTATGTAGAAGTCGTAGCCCTCAAGAAGAAGACGGGGAAAGCAGTGGCCGACTGGGTGGAAGATTTCTACCTAAGACACCCCTTCGTGCGCAGGTTTATAGCAGACAATGGAACAAAATTCGTTAACCAGGGGGTGCTGAACAGGTTCAAGATATTGTGCGTACCGATCAAGATCACCGAGCCCTACCATCCCGAGGCAAATGCACCAGTAGAAAGGGGTCACCGGACTTTGAATAACACAATCGCAAAGTTGGCAGCAGATAATTTGGGAAGTTGGTCACGGTTTCTCAAGCAGGCAGTCTTCGCCAAGAACATGACTCCAAAAAGAATAACGGGATGTATTCCAGCAGAACTCTAGTATGGAAGGGAGATCGATTTTCCGATAGAAGCCTTGGTACCTACCTGGAACAGGCTAGATGACAACCCACACTTGAGCACGAAAGAGTTAATCATCGCACGTTGTCAGCAGGTCGCCAGAAATGAGGAGGCACTCGAGGAAGTAGTCAATCGAGTGACGGATAGCCGAATGAAGGATAAAGCAAGATGGGACCAGGTCAAGAACATTCGGAAGGAGCCACTCCAGGTGGGGGGAAAGGTGCTAGTTAGGAACTCGGCTCTTGAAAGCACATGGTCCGGGCAGCTGGGAAAAAGATTCAAAGGGCCTTACATGATCGCTAAGCGGGTGGGACTGAACACATTTGAACTTGAGGATCTCGATGGTACTAGCATAAGAGGGTCATTTCCGGGACAAAGACTGGTCAAATTTTTGAGCAGGGATCCGGTGGAACAGTGGCTACAAGAGGCCTAGGACAGGGAAAGTGGGGAATTGACAGCCTGAAAGGCAGGCAGCTGGCTATAAGTTCTGGACCGCCACCCTGTGGAAGTGATCATGACCACAGGGATTGTTCGTTTGTGTGTCTTGACTTTTGTGGAACGTGGGGAGACTGCCTGGGCTGACTGTGACTGGGCCTGGGAGCACGGGACGGTGTATTATAGTTTTTGTGAGGTAACGCTGGGGACTGTCTACACGAGGTATTTATGTGCGGGGACAATGTACCATAGTTTTTGTGGGGTGATGCTGTGGACTGCCTACATGGGGCACCTATATGTCGGGACAATGTGTCGAGGGTTCTAAGGGATAATGGGGCTACCAACTATATGGGGGCAAGCAAGAGTTCTAGGGAAACCTCCAAAGCCGCAAATAGGAGTGGAAGAGAATTCGTGTATGAGGGGTACCGTGACTGTTATGTATAAACAGGGTCAGGCAAGAAGAAGAAAGACAGCAAGAAAACGAAAAAATGGAGTTTGGGAATGAAAATGACAGCAATGCAATTAACAGTCCGGAAGAGGGACAGTCGTCAAGGCAAGCTGGAGAGTCAAGCTCCAGGAAAAGGAAGTTGTATGTGGGGTTCGATCACAACCTAGTTGTGAACAGGGGGCCAGAAAGCAAGGAACCAGGGGACCATCGCCACTAAGGGAAGGGGAGCCAATAGTCCTCCCATCGGAAAGTGACACCAGCAGTGAGGAAGAGAGGAACCCGGGGAAAAGGCCAAGGTTGGAGGAGGACGTGCCCGTGGAATTTATCGACCTCACCAGCGACGAGGAGGAAGATGAGGTAACAACGCCCACAAGGGAAGAACAGGGAAGAGGGGAGCAGCCGGGTGAGAAGAAGGACAAATGGATAGAAGAGTTCGGATCTGAGTTCAGCGATTGGTTTGATCAATGGGGCACTATCGTGCGATATCAGTGGATTATGAAGGCAAGGGAAAAGCTGCGCAGCGGAGAGGATCTATCCCCAACAACCTTCTTCATAAAACGGACACTCCTCCAGTTCCAAGGAATAAAGAGGCAAATGGAGCAGGAAATGGAGGATTGCGCAAGGAGGGAGGCTCAACGCAGGCCACCCGGACGATAGAGGCGCAACAACCGTAATGAGGAATAGCTAAGAGGTGGGAGGGGTTGGTCTCTGGGCAGTCGGAGCTGCCATCTTAGACTTCGCACTTGAACTTCTTTTATGAATGAATTTTCTAAGCTCGAAGTGACTAAGGACTTGGTAGTCAGCGCTACTTCGTACGAATGGTTGCT